CCATAATTATCAGTAATTATAGATAACTTTAACCGCACAGGTATCCTAAATACAAATATTCATACAATTTTTACTACTAAATAACTAAAACAACCATGTTTTTTAAAGGTATTCAGTGCGTCAAATCCCAGGACGCATATGTGCGTCGCCCGGACCCAAAGGGTTAAGACAAAAAGATAATTGAGAAAATACTTATTGTAGAAGATTCTTGAATATCGACTTGGTGACCAGATTACTCAACATATGAAATGGCATAGAAAAAAGTAAGTTTTTCTATTTCAAACCATTCTTTTTTGACAGAAAATATAGCCATGTTCGTTCTTTTCAAATATGATATTATTTTACTTAAAATTCATTTTTAGAAAAGAGGAAATATTATTCACTTATATACAAGTACTTTGTGGAAAAGCATCTTAAATTCAATATGAGAAAAACTGAAGAATTTGTTTCAATAACTAATTACTTCTCAACATAGATCAATATAATTATGGATTTTTGAAAAGAATGTGGGCATGGTGATTCTTCTCAGTCAAATTTATATTCTATGTTTTGTAAAAACTCTCAGGTAACAACTAGCGGCAAATCCAGAACACTAGTATCCGTCATCTTTTCGTTAAGCATTGGCAGGTGTCACTATTGGTAAGTGCATCGTACTATCAAAAATGCACGGCGCCTATAAAGTAACTGTACTCTTCACTATCATTTCTAAAACAAGAGTGGAGCTAAGATGTTACTGCCGGCGTTAGTTACTCTAATGCTAATGTTCTAACTCCGTCACTACTAACAACTTGAAGTCATTGAAATCATGAAAATAAATTTAATCTACGTAACAATAGAATAAATTTTTATTTTGTATTTTAAAAAAATCAATGATTAAAAATTAAAACAAAATTTTTTGTGCATTACTCTATGCAATTGAATTTATTAAACAATACAGTGTCAAAATAATATATTCTGATTAATCGGTTGCAGGCATTGTAAGCAGTGCTTGAGTTTCGTCTCTGGTCGTCAGAACAAAATCATATTTAATCAACCAATCCTGTTCGTTAACATCATATTTCTTTGCCATTAATGAATCTTCCACTTTTCCAGCATTCACAATAAGACTTTTTTTAACACCGAAAACAACATCATTTGATTCATATGGATCACCATGGATGTATAATGCTGTAGCTAAATCATCATATATATTTTCAGGAACATGAATACGAAAATGTATATGTGCTGGTCGACAAGCAGATCGATGAAGTTTTTCTAGCAGTTTTCCAGCGGGACCATCAGCAGGTACAGGATATGATACTGGTTTTACACATTTAAAAAAAAATTCTCCGTTTTCATTTGAAGTAAGTCGACCACGCATATCTGGTCTTTCTCGTTTATCGTATTGGTTATCATAATGACCAGTACCATCTGTCTCCCAAACATTAATCTTGGCTCCTTCAATTGGATTACCCTTGGTATCCTTAACTGTAGCAAGTACAAGACACATTTCTCCTTTACCTGGTGATGCAATACTATCACCATTAACCACATTTGGTGCATCATCGGTATAAAATGGTCCTAAAACAGTGGATTCTGTAGCATTTGCTGGTTTAGGATTGTTTAATGCATCGACAAGAACACTGACTCCTAATATATCGCTTAATAAAATAAATTCTTGTCGAATATCAGTACACATATGTCCACATTCAGTTAAAAATTTAATTGTTTCGTTAAATTCTTCAATTGTAAGTCGAGTTTCACGTACATAATCATGAAGATATTCTACTAATTTTTCCATTAAGAATTTTAGTCGAGGATTAGGTGTTTGACTATTTACCAATTTTACATTTTCTGTAATGTTGTCTATTGTTAAATCCATAAATTGTGGAGTTTCATAGGTAGAACTTGTGTTGTCGCTCGACATTCTTCTAAATAATGAATGTATGTTATATAACCTTCTCTATTGTTAACGTATAGATAAGAAATGAGGATTATGTTGCTGTTTCACCTTATCAATATTTACAAAGCACAAAACATATTACCGTGTTGCAGGTAAAAAACAGTCATTTTTCGAAGTGATTCTTTTGCTCGTATTCGGCCAATCAATATCATGTGAAAATATCAATAAAAAATAATAATTTTGAATTATTTTAGATATTTCATATTGGAGTGAAATCATATTTTAAAAATATATAATTGATATTTTAGAATCATAAGCAATTAAAAAGTTCTTTTTAACATAATGAAGATAATTGGTGATATTATTCGCCATTTACAATGCATTTTCATTCACATTCCTTTCTTTGAATGATATAACTTCAGAGAGATTAAGTACTCAGGTGTAGATATGAATACAAAGATAGCTTACATATGCCTCCTAGGTACTGCATATCACTTTGTATAATCGCGCTATGTTGCATCGGATGGATTCATAGTTCATTAAATCTCCTTAAATAAACTCTTTATAGATCAATTAAATTTATTAGGAGAAATGTCTATATAATGGTTGATTTTTTTGATTTTAAGACTAATAAATGCGGAAACTTCGGATTTAAATCCGAGAGTTATGTGTACTTCAAAAAGTGAATCATACAAATCAATCATCCTAGACTATCTGAATATCAAAATTATACTGTCAAATCTAC